AAAATTCGTGAGAAGAGATAAAGAAGGTCGCTACATACTAATTAAAGGATCTCTCCTTCAGGAGGATATTACAATTCTAAATATCTATTCGCCAAACAATGGAGCACCCAAATTTATCAGAGAAACACTACTTTCCCTCAAATCCCATATAGATCCAAAGACATTAATTGTTGGGGATTTTAACACCCCACTCTCCCCACTAGATAGATCAACTTGGCAAAAACTCAACAGAGAAACCGCAGATCTAAACAGCTGCATAGATCAACTAGACTTAACAGACATCTACCGAACATTTCACCCAGCAGCATCAGAATACACGTTTTTCTCAGCAGCACATGGAACGTTTTCTAAAATAGACCACATTTTAGGCCACAAAGCAAACTTGTCTAAATTCAGAAACATTGAAGTTATACCTTGCATTCTCTCTGACCACAAGGGAATAAAATTAGAACTCAACACCAAAAGCCACCAAAGAAAGTGCAGTATCACATGGAGGCTGAACAACACACTGCTGAATCAAGAGTGGGTCATGGAAGAGATTAGAAAGGAAATTCAAATGTTCATGCTATTCAACAAAAATGAACACACAAATTACCAGCTCCTCTGGGACACAGCAAAGGCAGTACTCAGAGGCAAGTTTATAGCTCTGAGCTCCTACATCAACAAATTGGAGAGATCTGAAACTAGCAATTTAATGACACATCTAAACCTCCTTGAAAAAGAGCAGCAAGATAAACCCCAATCCAGTAGACGGAAAGAAATAATCAAAATTAAATCAGAATTAAATGAATTAGAATCCAAAAAAACTATAGAAAGAATCAACAAAACAAAGAGTTGGTTCTTCGAAAAACTTAACAAAATTGACAGACCCTTAGCAAATCTTATCAGAAAAAGAAGAGAACACACCCAAATTAATAAACTCAGAGATGAGAATGGAAACATCACCACGGAAACAACCAAGATTCAGAACATTATAAGGGAATACTTCTCAAAACTTTATGCTAATAAGTTTGAGAACTTGACAGAAATGGACCATTTCCTAGCAAATATTGACATGCCAAAACTAAACCAAGATGAGTTAAACCAGCTTAACAGGCCCATATCAAGCATTGAAATAGAAACAGCAATAAGAGACCTCCCAGCTAAGAAAAGTCCAGGACCAGATGGTTTTACAGCGGAATTTTACAAGGCCTTCAAAGCAGAGCTCACACCAATACTCCTCCAACTCTTCAATGAAATTGAAAGAGAAAGCTCACTACCGAACACATTCTATGAAGCCATCATAACCCTCATCCCAAAACCAGGCAGGGACTCATCAAAGAAAGAGAACTATAGACCCATTTCTTTGATGAACATTGATGCAAAACTTCTCAACAAAATTTTGGCCAATCGACTTCAACAATTCATCCAAAAAATCATACACCACGATCAAACAGGATTCATTTCAGGGATGCAAAGCTGGTTCAATATACGCAAATCAATTAATATTATTCATCACATCAACAGGAGCAAGAATAAGAACCACATGGTTATCTCAATAGATGCAGAAAAAGCATTCGACAAGATCCAACACCCCTTTATGATGAAGGTTTTGGAAAAATTAGGAATCCATGGAACATTCCTCAATACAATAAAGGCTGTATATGCCAGCATTATACTTAATGGTGAAAAACTAAAGCCATTTCCTCTTAACTCAGGAACAAGACAAGGATGTCCACTCTCTCCACTTCTCTTCAATCTAGTATTAGAATGCCTAGCTACAGCAATAAGACAAGATGCAGACATAAAGGGGATCCAAATAGGGAAAGAAGAAATAAAACTCTCCCTCTTTGCAGATGACATGATCTTGTATTTAAAGAATCCCATAGACTCCACTCCCAAATTACTCAAGCTGATTCAAAACTTTGGCAAAGTAGCAGGTTATAAAATTAACCCCCAAAAATCAATGGCTTTTCTGTATGCCAACAATGAGAAAAGTGTGGCTGAAATTAGGAAAGCAACTCCATTTGTAATAGCCCCACAAAAAATAAAATACCTCGGAATTAACTTAACTAAAGAAGTGAAGGACCTCTATGATGAAAACTTTAAAATCTTGAAAAAGGAAATCAACACAGAACTTAAAAAATGGCAAAACCTCCCATGCTCCTGGATTGGAAAGATTAACATCGTGAAAATGGCAATACTTCCCAAGGCTATCTACAAATTCAACGCAATACCTATCAAAATTCCACCCTCATTCTTCAAGGAAATAGAAGAGGCAATCCAAAAATTCATATGGAACAATAAAAGACCCCGAATAGCAAAAACGCTCCTCAACGGAAAGAACACTGCTGGAGGAATATCAATACCAAATTTCAAACTCTACTATAAAGCCATAGTAATCAAAACAGCTTGGTATTGGCATAAGAACAGACCTCAGGACCAATGGAATAGAATTGAAAACCCAGAAATGAACCTACAGACCTATAGCCATCTAATCTTCGATAAGGGAGCTAAAACAATAGAATGGAAGACAGACAGCCTCTTCAGTAAATGGTGCTGGCAAAACTGGTTAACTACATGTAGAAAACTAAAGCTAGATCCTTATATATCACCCTGCACCAGAATCAACTCCAAATGGATCAAAGACCTTGAACTCAAAGCAGACACTCTGAAAACATTACAGGATGGAATAGGAGAAACCCTGGGTCTCCTTGGCTCAGGCTGAAATTTTCTGAATAGAGACCAGGAAACACAACAAATCAAAGAAAGGTTGGACAAATGGGATTGTATAAGGTTGCAGAGCTTCTGCAGGGCAAATGACATAGCTAGCAAGATCAATAGAAAGCCCACGGACTGGGAGAAGATCTTTACTAGCCATACAACGGACAAGGGTCTCATATCTAAAATATACTTGGAACTCAAAAAATTAAACCACCCAACAACAAATCCTCAAAGAAACAACTGCCCAATAAGTAAGTGGGCGAAAGACTTAAAGAGAAGCTTCTCTGAAGAAGAAAGAAGGATGGCCAATAGACACATGAAGAAATGTTCAACATCCCTAGCCATAAAAGAAATGCAAATCAAAACAACATTGAGATATCACCTCACTCCAGTTAGAACGGCAAAAATCAAGAACTCTAACAACAACAGATGCTGGAGGGGATGTGGACAGAAAGGAACCTTACTTCATTGTTGGTGGGAATGTAAACTTGTTCAACCACTTTGGAAAGCAGTATGGAGGTTCCTCAAAAGACTTCACATAGAGCTCCCCTATGACCCAGCAATCCCACTTTTGGGCATTTACCCTAATGTTTACAAACAAGACCACACTAAAGCTACCAGCACAACTATGTTTATTGCAGCATTATTTACCATAGCTAAGATATGGAACCAACCCAGATGCCCCTCAGTAGATGAATGGATCAAGAAAATGTGGTATATATACACAATGGAATTCTATGCCTCCATCAGAAAGAATGACATTGCCCCATTTGTTAGGAAATGGAAAAACTTGGAAAAAATTATATTAAGTGAAGTAAGCCAGGCCCAAAGAAATGTAGGTCCCATGGTTTCCCTTATTTGTAATATCTAGTATATGTATGAGTCAAGCGGAAAAGGTCAGATAATGTGATGTCAGGAAAATGAACCCTTAGATGTGTATTTTAATGTTTTTTTCTTTCATGCATGTGTTTCTAACACATTTATAAGATTATCTCTTTGTTGCTTTGTATGTCCCTCCTCCACAGTATAACCCCTGCTTTCACTATATTTGATGTCAGTATAACTTGTGGAGGAGATGGGGAAAAACCAGTTGTTTAAGGATACAGGTGGACCTGTTGCAACAATGAGAAGTACAAGTTGTCATGTCCAAAACGAGCTTTACAACGTTGGTGCGGGGGGGGGGGGGGGGGGGGGGGCGGGGGGGGGGAGGAGAAGGATTGGGATTAGGGGGGGAGGGGGGAGGCTGGGAAGGATGTGAAGGATAAACAAAGGAGGAGGCTGCAATGCTTGGTAAGAAATGTACGCATTATCCTGCCCATGTAACTGTAACTCCTCTGTACAGTATGTTCACAAATAAAATTAAATTAAATTTAAAAAAAAAAAAAGGAGTCAGTATCGAGATGGGTGATGGACATTACCAACAGTGGGGTCTTGGGATGGTTGCCTACTGCCTGGAGGGCAGTAGTATCACCTGAGCAGCGTGAGCCTGGGGTCAGCTTCCCTGGTGTCAATGATTGACAGGCTCCACGTGGACAGCCTTTCCCTGATAGGGGCATCACTGACTTCCCAGCATCCACCAGTCCTTTCAGTGACACGCCCACATGCTGAACCTACCTCCTCCTTTGCTTTCTCACCAGACCCCAGACACATTCTAAGGACCAAGTCCACTGAATGCTAGCCACTTGCATTTCCATCTCTCCCAATTCTTGCAACAATTCCCCCTAGGCAAATATTTTTGTTGCCATTCTACACATGAGGAAAAGGAGACTCAGAGGAGTTAACTGACTTGTCGATATATTGCCATTCTGTTTGGTGGATTTTGTTCCATTTCGTTTCCCTTTTTGTTACCCACATCCTTTCTCTTGTGCATGGCCTGGTGAGATCCCACCTGATATTTTATATTTTAAACTGTGCATTTTCTCCAAGCAAAAACCTGGGAGATTTAAAGTTAAATTCATAATAAGTCTGACTGTGCTAATGAAAGCCTGACTTTGGAAGTCAACTCCGAGGAAGGATGACGTTATTTAAATTCCCCTAAATTAGAAGCAAGGGTGTTCATACCTTTCCTATCACCACTTTTTATGTTAACTTACAACGTCTTCCTTTCTTTAGAAAATTATGAGGAAAAAAAACAACCTGCTTTCATTTTATAACACAGTGATAAATATCACAGTGGACTACGGGCTGTTAATTTGGCAATGAAAACGTAATCAAAGGTTTATAAAGGGTTCAGAGTGTTTTTATCTCGGTCATTAATAATTGTGTTTTATTTAACACAAGATTTCCTTTTCTTGCAGGCAGATAAGCCTGAAAGACTTCAGTAAAGTAAGTAACTATTTTGTCTTGGATTTTTAAGATGGGTGGGAGGTCATCTTTGTACCTTAAGTAGCTACAATGAACAGGATCTATTTACTTTCCTTTGTCATATTTTATTCTCACAGTAGTCCTATTCAACATGCATCTCAAGAGAAAAACTAAAGTAAAAGAAGACTCAGATTTTCAGCCGACATGCCACTCTGCCACCTGTCCATTCCTTGTTGACTGGCTCAGTTAGGAGGAAGCCAGGTCCGTGGGTCACTGCCCCGTTCCTGGCCCCTCTCCATGCTTCCAAACACCAGCATTGCCAAAGTAAAATGCTGGAAACGGCACTACACCTTTGTTTTGTTCTCAAAAAAAGACAAGGCTGCAAAGTAGTAAGAAGAAGGTAGTGTCACCAAGATCTGGGTGTAAATCACAAGGACCCACTAGTCATTGTGAACTTCAGCAAGCACCGCCACCCACCCAGAGCTCTGCTTCCTCTGCCACAAATTAGACAAAGTGACATTTCTTGGCCCTTAGAGAAGGGTGAATGCCACACCTGTGTTACATTGAGTGTTTATTGAGTCTATTTCAACACAAACAAAGAGTTACCTGCCTCAGATCAGTCCACATGGCATTATCCAGTTCCCAATGTGGAGAACTGTATATCCCGTTTATCCTTACCAAGCCCTAGCAGAAAAGCGAGGTCCTGGATAGCTAGAAAACTTCTAGGCTCGCCGGGCGCTGGTGGCTCATACCTGTAATCCTAGCTACTCAGGAGGCTAAGATCTGAGGATAGCGGTTCAAAGCCAGCCCAGGCAGGAGAGACTGTGAGACTCCTATCTCCAATAAACCACCAGAAAACCGGAAGTGGCGCTGTAGCTCAAGTGGTAGAGCACTTGCCTTGAGCTGAAGAGCTGAGGGACAGCGCCCAGGCCCAGAGTTCAAGCCCCACGACCGACAAAAAAAAAAAAAAAAAGAAAGAAAACTTCTAGGCTTCCCACTGGCAGAAGACAGGGCCAGTCCTGAAATCCCCCAGTCCAATCCTCTCCCCACAGCCATGACTCTGTTAAAAAAATAAAATGCAGAGATAGCAGGTGCCAGAGGCTCATGCCTGTATAATCCTAACAACTCGGAAGGCTGAGATCTGAGGATCACGGATCAAAGCCAGCCCAGCAGGGAAGTTGTGACACTCTTATCTCCAATAAACTACCAAATAGACAGTAGAACTGTGGCTCAAGTGGTAAAACACTAGCCATGAACAAAAGAAGCTCAGGGACCATGGCCAGGCTCTGAGTTCAAGTGCCAGGACCAGCAAAACAATAAAATGACAAAAACAAACAACCAAAACAGAGACAGCCTGGCTGAAAATATTTTTTAAAGGAAGACAGGGAGGGGGAAAGCAGGAGAAGGAAGAGAGGGAAGAAGGGAGGGAAGGAGAGAAAAAAAGAAGGGATGAGGTGTGGAAGACAAAAGGGAGACAGAGAGAGGTAATAAACCATTACCATTACTGTTTATTTTCTAACAGAAAAAAAAGCATGTTAAAGTAGAGAACCTAGAGAGATTTCACTCTACTATTCTAGTTACACATGATTTTTCAAGTTCAGAGCCCTCAAGCAAAAGCTCAGCTGGGTTTTGATGTACTAAAAGGACAGCCCCCCTCGCTGCAGGCTTCGGCAGTATTTATGGGCCACCTTCCCTCTCCTTTGAGGCCCCTGAGATCTCAGGTGCATCTGATTGAGCTCTTTGAACTCAGGTTCAAAGTCCCCAGGAAGACTCAGTGGGGAGACTAGAAATCACTCATTCGAATGGATTCACAGCCTTTTCGGTTTAATCCCTAGACTTACTTTGCTTTGCTATCTGTCTTGAAATGGAACCCTAAGGGACGCCAAGTTCCTTCAAACAAAGGAGCCTGTCTGTTGGCTAGTTTCAGACAAGACTAGAGGTTTCTTATCTATGAAGCAAGAGACCTGGGCTCAAGGTCACCTTAGCTGCATGATATCTTAGGAACCTCAGTAAATGGCCCGCCTCTCCGGATCTCTTCTGTACATCAGTGATTTTTAATGTTTCTTAGACTTCAGAAACCTGTGAAAATATGTGACCTCATCCAACAAAAACAGTGTGCATATTGACTCTGTGGCATAGAACTGTATCATAAGGCAACTTTTGTATGTATGTTTTTGCTGGTATACTGGTATTGGTAATGGGGCCCGGCACCTGCTCAACTTGCTTGATCACGGTTGACGCTGTACCACTTGAACAATGTCTCTAGCCTGACTTTTTGTTGATTAGAAATAGAGTCTCTTGGACTTTTCTGCCTGGGCTGGCTTTGAGTCTCGATCCTCTAGTCTTGGTCTCCTCAGCAGCTAGGATCACTGGCACTCAGCTTTAGGGCCATTATTGTGGTCCTTTGTAATGTCTAGCTTCAGGCATACATATAGTATAATCTTATTCCACTCTCTGTATTTATTTATTTAGTTAGTTAGTTGGTTAGTTGTATGGCTTGAACTCAGCACTGTTCTGAGCCTCTTTGTGCTCAAGTCTAGTGCTCTACCACTTGAGCCACAGCACCACTTCCGGTTTTTGTGTGGTTAATTGGAGATGAGTCACATGGTGGCTTTTCTACCTGGGCTGCCATACAATCCTCCACTCTCAGCCTCCTGAGTAGGTAGGATTATAGATGTGAGCCAGCTGTTCCTGGCGTCTATACATATTTACAATGCCTCATAATATCCCAGTAAATGAGTATAGCACCAAATTAACTATTATCACTTATCTGGGAATGTAGTTTGTGTCTAGTGATTTGAAACTTTAAGAATGATACACTGAACAGCCTTATACATAGAGCTTGCACCAAATTTGGGGGTGGTTCTTAGAACAAGATTATCATCAAGGCAATTAATAGAGAAGGATCATCATATTTCTAAGCTCTTGATAACTATGGATTAATTGTCCTCTGAATGAGAACAATCCATCATGCACAAACAGACATCCTGCTTGTCTGTTACATTGTATGAAGAGTATACAATTTTGATTTGTTAGGTGCTTTAGACATTGTTAGAACAACATTTACACTAACAAAATATTTTCCCCAATTGTAACAACCAAGTGCTCCAAAACCACATAGTATTATATTAAATTCCCTATCATCCAAAGTCATTCACCATTATTTTGTCTTCATTTAATATAGGTCGTTGGAGTGGATGAAGGTAAATGGTTGACATTCATTTTCTTACCCCAATGCTGTTAGAATAAGTTCTGCCACTAAGTTTGTTGTACTAGTTACTATGTGAAAAGATGGTTCTGAAGCCTTGCATATATGAATGTGCTTACAGAGCCAGACAGGCCTAGGGCCTCAGAGTCATTTCAAAAGTCCTCAGGCCTAAACAGCTACACATGCACTCAACCTTGTATCCTAAAGCAGAACTTTCTTTTTTCTCCACACCTTCTGTGCTCTCTGAAATATTCATATTGGTCTGTGTGCATGCTTATTTGCCATCTCTTTCCACTGGAATGTAAGAAACGAATCTGTCTTCTCTTGTCTAACTCCAGATTTTGACTGAGTCCCTGTCCCATTGAAGTGGTCAATGAGACAATATGGATGAATGGATGGGTGAATGGGTGGATGGATGGATGGGTGGATGGGTGGATGGATGGATGGGTGGATGGGTGGATGTATAGATGGGTGGGTGGATGGATGGATGAATGGATGGATGGATGGAGGGGAATATTGCCAGTATAGAATAACCCTTAAAATCTCTTCCACTGTGGTGGTTTATGTATCTGAGAAATTCGACAATGCATGCTCCACACTGTACACATTTGGTGCAAGCTTGCATAGCATGGTCTTCCCAGAGGATGTCCCCAGAACTAAGAAAGTTGGGGAAAACAGTTTCTTTCTTTCTTTTTTTTTTGCCAGTCATGGAGCTTGAAGTCAGGACCTGGGCACTGTCCCTGAGCTTCTTTTGCTCAAGGCTAGCATGCTACCACTTGAGCCACAGTGCCACTTCTGGATTTTTCTGTGTATGTGGCACTGAGGAATTGAACCCAGGGCTTCAAGCATGCTAGGCAAGCACTCGACCACTGAGCCACCTTCCAAGCCTTGAAAAATAGTTTCTAACCAGAGATTGATTATTTGGATGAATAGCTGTTACAGTGGGTTTCTAGTGGTCCACAGTCCTTTCCAAGCATAACCTGACTGAATTGTGTCCTGTCTTTAGATTCTCATCATCTGACAAGGCTAGTGCCATCTTACCCCTCTCAGAACACTCAGAAGATTGCAGCTGCCATTGCTAGGTAAGGAGCCAGGATTCTTCACCAGGGTCCCCACTCAGGGGTCTGCGGGGGCAGAGGGGGGCATGTACCATCAGGGACACTGACTTCTGAGAAACAGAAGCAATCTTTATCCCTGGACTTTGGAGCCCATAGTAAGGTCCAAGGGAAACCTGTGAATCCGAGCTGCGATGGCGTCTAATTCTGTTCCTCCTGCAATTTCTAACTCACTGGGGGGTAGATACGTATGGAGGCTTTTAAAGAACTGAGTGTCAACTGGAAAAGATGAACTGAGATGGATGCTGATCCACCTGGGAGGACAAGTTATTTGCTCCCAGCAAATGTGATGACAACAACAAAGCTGTTAGGGGAGCTTGACCAGTCGAAATTACTGAGCACTGAGAATGTCTGGTTAAATAACTGTCTGATTAGGTTATTGTAATAGCTGCCAACCCAACTGAGAAGCTAAAGAAGCAATAGGCTGTAAATTAACCTCACTTACTCAAAACCCACGGCTTCCAACCTTAGAGCCCTGAGACCCTCACCATCCAACTCTGCCCAATGGCTCTGACCTGGCTTAGGTCACACTGCTCTCGCACCGTGCTCTGAGCTTCATCCCAGGCCCTCCAGCCACCATGCTGTCCTTAGCAGAGTGTCTCCAGGCATGCTCCTCTGCCTGAACCCTTCTTCCCACCCCGCTACTAGGTGGAAAACTCTGAATCCAGCACATAGTCCTTACCTACTGCCCAGATGCCAGAAATAAAATACTGGGGAGTCGCCAAACTACTCAAGAGGCTCTGATCGGAGGATCCTTGTTTGAAGCCAGCTTGGGCAGACAAATCCGAGAAACTCTTATCTCCAAGTAGACAACAAAAATAATAAAACAAAACAAAAAACTAGAAATGAAGATGTAACTTCGGTGGTAAAAAGCCAAGCAAGAATATGAGGCCCTGAGTTCAACTCCCAGTAATCTCTCCCTCCCCATCCCCTCCCCTCTCTGTCACACACAGACACACAGACACAGACACACACATACACACATACACACACACAGAGTTCCAGGGAGGCAGTCTTTTACCACTAACGTCAAGTCTAATTCCATGAATCACAGCTTTCCCTGATGGTGGGTGCCTTTTATTTATCCAGTAATGTTTTTAACTGGGAATATATTGTGTTCGTGGTGGACTAGAATAGTGGTCGGGAGGTGATCTACAGGAGTCCGGCTGCAGGTGGCAATGCCCAGAGCATGTCACTCACTGTCCTAGGTGACAAGTGTGGACAGAAGCCAGACAAGTAGCAACAGACGGAAAAATGTCAGCTCCCTTCTCCTCACTCATTTTCTTGCTTTGTCCTATTTTGTACCTCCAGGAACTTCATTCTCACTCTGTTCCAACTATTGTTTTGTGGCTCTTTGTTTAAGTCCCAACTGACACTCTCTTAATGTAATTTTCTAAAAGAAAAAAGTCAGTCATATTGTATTTTACCAGCAGTAGTAATTTATTTAATGTGCTTCTGGCTTCTTTGTGTTTGTCTGTTTAATCTGTTCAATAAAATCACCTTGTTTTGGTTCCTCTTTAAACTGGCTGCTCCTTGTAAGTCCCCTTTTTGAAGCTGTACCTCTCTAGCAATAGGAAGTGTTGGTATTCCTCAGAATTCAGCTGAGCCGCTCTTTTCTGTCACTCTCAGCCTGGATGCGTTCATTCCCCTCAGTGCGGAATGTGAACCCTACCTGGATAATTTCCACATCTCTACTTTGACGTCGTCTCTCATCTCCAACCTTCTATTTCCAGCTGCCACCCACTGGGTACTTTCCCTGGGACAGGCCACAGGAGTCACAAACTGGTTGTGCTGAAAGTTGAATTCTGCCTTTCCACATTCCTCATTCCCAAACCAGCAGCATCCTCCTGCAGACTTCTCACCCAGGCACGTGCCCTTTCCTGCTGTCCCTCTTCCCATCCTATCCTTGGCCAATCCCGAAGGTCCATCTCCAAATCCTATCTACCCATGTCTCTCCCATTTTCCCAGCTCTCAGATCAGCTCCTGGCTGGCCTATTGCAAGTAGTGTTTTAATCATATTAGGGATCTCTCTACCCAACCTCGCATCTGTGCGGAGCTATTTCCTGGAGCTTGCAGAGTACGCCATGTTTTCCTGCCTCTAAGCTTGTTTACATGATGTTCCGGGAACATGTTCCCCTCCCCAGATTTCTTCCTGCCCTTCAGGAGTCAGCACGCTAGCTCTCTGTGGAGAACCAGAGCCATTCTGTGTGTGTTCGATTCCTTCCACCACCACGGGAGCTGATTCTGTCAACGCCTTTCCTATGACATTCACCAGGGACATAAGGATCGGGGCAGAAGTATGCCTTCCCTGGGCAAAGTCTGTGTCTCATTCATACCCCATCTTACATCTCGTAAGTGCTCAGCCAGAATGTGTTCATTAAGTGGAAGGGTCATCATTTTCTCTCATGGAGTCAGTGGTTGGACTTCGTTGCTTCTATCCTACTATGTACTTCAGACTAGAACATCCTCAGAGGCTACTCCCCCTTTTGCAGCATTTCCTACAATTACTGAAACATTAGAGCAGAGAAACTGCATTGCTTTTTTCCCCCCTCAGCTATTTACCAAGACTGCACACTGGCTCCCAGGAAAGGGAATCTGGCTTGTGCCGTTGAGAGCGTGGATCTTGGAAGTGCAACCTGTGCCGACAGCATCACGTGATGGTCACGTGACCGGTGGCATTTTTTAACTACAAAGCAACTTAGAAGGTCCCAGGCCTTTGTTGGATCCACAAAAACCAGACCCACGCTCAGTTGATTTCACTGGTGCTAGAAAAAGGTCACGTTTCATTTAATTAACCCAGAAGGCCTTAGTCAATAGCATAATCCTTGGACTAGTGTGTGCCCCATCTAATTAGGTTTAATTCTATTAGCACCTGGAGCTCATATCGACAGTACTGACCACAATACAAAACGAACCTGAAAATTAGATTTGGGTGCAGAGTGCAACCTTTGGTGAATAGTCCCGGCAATAGATATTGCTATTTTGATTAAAGCTTTAATAATCCTTCTTTATGGAATTCTTTATAATTTGCCACAAAGTGTTCTCACCCAGCTCAGATTTCAAGAAGGATGAAATCTGTATACCCTTCTTCCGGCTCTGACTGACTCTCAATCAGAAAATAGTTTCTATGGAATCTTAGCTCCAAACAAGTGCTCGTTGCTGTGAGTGTAACTAGAAGGCAAGTCTAAGCTCCTGGCTTTGAAAAGTAAATTCACACACACACACACACACACACACCACACAATGTCCTTACTAAAATGAAATAGGAATAACTGATGTGGAATTTATTGCACATCTAATATGTGTCAATCTTGAGAAAGGAGAAGAGACAATATCTTGTTGCCTTACAAAATTGACAATTCCTTTAGTATATGCAGTAAAACACGAAATATTTTATAAATGCAACTTCAGGACACTCATTTACTGTGTTCCTAAGAAAAATTCCATTCACTATAGAAATTCTAACATTATATCAATTCTGGAATTTCCTTTAGCTCTTCATTCATGCCAAACAGCTGCAATATGCAAGACAGAGGTAAGAATACTTTAAGAAATTGGGAAGCAAACAGGTAAGCCATCACACTGTAATATTTCTACTGGGCCAGACTTTGTGAGCCTGAGTCACTGAGCTGATATACAGAGATGTGATTAGCTCTTTTTCACTGAGTGATAGTATTTTGTTGGGCTTATATGACAATTTCAATATTAATAATTTTTATTTTACTGTCTAATAAAATAGATCCCTTAGGGCAGTTTCCATTTTCCCCCTCTTATGAACATCACTATGTCACGAATCCAGGAGCTAAATGAACCCAGAAAGGGCTTTACTTCTGGGAGGGGGGGAGGTGGAGGTTGAAAATATGCTGCTGAGATAGAAATTTTGTAAGCTAGATAGAAACCCAGAGTCTTAGCGAGAAAGATAAAAACCAAGCACCAGAGGCTGGGAAGGTGGCTCAGTGGTAGAGTGCTTGCATTGCATGCATGAGGCCCTGGGTTCGATTCTTCAGCACCAAATATGCAAAAAGAAAAAAGCCGGAAGTGGTGCTGTGGCTCAAGTGGTAGAGCGCTCGCCTTGAGCTGAAGAGCTGAGGGACAGCGCCCAGGCCCAGAGTTCAGGCCCCACGACCAGACCCAAAAAAATAAAAATAAAAAGCAAGTACCAGTACACAGTAGGGGACACTGGAGACAGGTCCCCCAAGCACCCCATGGCCTGAGAGGATTACCCTTGCTCTCAACGTATCTCAGAGGAAGTGTGGGTCCCTGAAGAAGCCTGGAGTGAACACACAATGTATCTTGGCCTCCATTGCTTCTTTTAGACAACAGGCATCCCACAAGCATATGACTCTTATACAAAATAGAGCTGGGCCCTAAAGAGACACCATGGAGATAGCGCCATGCTTCCGCTGATCAGTGCCTCGGTACCTGCAAGGAGCCCCTAGCAGCTTTCTGACGGGACATGTGTTTTACTGAGTAAAAATGCATCCACAGACCCCTAGATCTTGGCAACATTAGATGTGCAGAAAGCAATGCTCCAACTGGACACTGGTCAAATTCCCAGTCCGATAAGGTCTTTAGAGCACATTGGTTCTAAAGCAATTGCCCATGGATGGGCTTCCAAATAGAACAGTGAAGCCTACAGCGCTATAGATATAGATGTTTTGGTCTTCATCTCACAAACAAGGAAAGAATTTTGGAAATGATTAATTTTTCTGGATAATTTAGTCATCCTTTAATAAACACATGACTCCATTCCCTGATAAATTAATTCAAGCTAAGCTGTGAGGAGACCAAAGAGATAGCTCTCAAAAGAAAATAAAAGATGTATCTGATATGTTGGAAGAGGGTGCAAAAAGTGTCTGGTGTGTACTCCAGAATAGGTTGAATATCATTCTGTAACTTTGACATGAATGATGATTTTTTTGTTGTTGTTTTGGTTTGAGATTTTGTTAACTAATGTTTTCTTTTTTTAAAAAATGTCTTTTTCCTTTATAAATTTTTTTAATGTATGTAAGGCTAAAGCAAAGCCTGCTAATAACTACTAGTGGAACGAAACATTTTATCGTAAGTGACAACGGAAAGATCTATACTTGTGTTTCTCTCGTGCTATTAGCCATAGTCACTGGTGGCATTTATCAAATGACCAGCACAGGCCAGGATCAGTGTTAAAACCATTACGTGGGAATCTTTCAATATTAGCAATCATTGATTTTACACCCCATACCTGTTCTGATTCGGCTGCCCTGTCTCATGTGTCGCCAACCACCTTGCGGAATCCTCTCCTGCTTGCTCAGCACCAGGCTCTTCATGGCTACAAGCCACCCTTTCCCAGGTGGAAGTCCTAATGTATAGGGTGGCAAATCCCAAATGTAATGTTTCCTATATAAAGAACTTCTCCAAGTTTGGCTATTTCTGTTATTTTTAAAGCAAAAGCCATTGATTATTTGAGGTGGGATATACTCATACTTTGAATTTTACTCAGACCACAGGGATCCATGAGGCTTTCAGAAGAAAGTTTTGGGGGAAAGTTCTTCTGACTTGGTGTGTGTGTGTGTGTGTGTGTGTGTGTGTGCATGCGTGTGCGCGCGCACGCACGCATGCGTGTGTGGATTCGTTTCACTCTCTGAACAGACTCTAAAGGCATAACTGTTTCCAAATGCTCTTTTTCTTTAACTGGGACTTTTTAAATATTAAAGCAAGGCATTCAGCTTGGAAACATAATAAATCAGTTGACAAAATATCATGAAAAACTCATAATCACTGAATTTTGCCTGAAGTTCAGGCTGGGTGATAGAGACAGTGAACATGGTGACTTTCCTCTAACACGTGCATTCTTATGCTTCAAAACATGTTGAAACCATTGTTGTAGACAGTTAAATAATAAACTATTTTGTATTTCTTCCTATAATTACTCTTTGTTCAAGACTGGGACTCGAATTTGGCATCTGATACTTTTGCTCATTGGTTGACGCTCTACCACAGGAGTCACGCCTCCAACCCTGCCTCCTACAATTTTATTTTAATGAAAACTTTGAAAGTAACTTTTTGTGAATTTTATATTGTTAGTATAAAAGTAATGTACAAGCCAGGCACCAGTGGCTCACACTTGTAATCCTAGGTACTAAGGAGGCTGAGATCTGAGGATCTCGGTTCAAAGCCAGCCTGAACAGGAAAGTCCATGAGACTTTCATCTCCAATAAACCATCAGAAAACTGGAAGTGGTGCTGTGGCTCAAGAGGTAGAGCGCTCACCTTGAGCTGAAGAGCTAAGGGACAGCACCAGGCCCAGAGTGCAAGCCTCTCTACTGACAAAACAATAATAATAATAATAATAATAAAAGTAAGGTAGGAGGGATCATAGTTGTATAAGGTAATGAGTACATTTCTTCATGGACCATGTCACCACTTCCCTTGCTCTAAAATCATTTTTTCCCGTCCATAACAACCCTATAAGTTTTCTCTTGGTTACAATTTGCCTGGTCTATAGTCCTCTATTCTTTGACTTGTGATCTTTATGTTCTATTGTATTTTAAGCCTGCAATTAGCACACCACCAGAGTTTTTAGGCCAACCTACATATGACTTTTAAAGGCTAAGGTTGCACCTTTGATATTTATTGTGGTTATTAATAACTCATATCTATTTTTACATATTTTATATCTCTTAACTGCCTACCTTTTACTGGATTTTTAGGCCAACATATATGTCAGTTTAAGCTAGGAATAACTAATCATAAGACCTTGAGATATAAATAAAATCCTAGACAAAATGATATGTGGAACAGAAGTAATCATTGTGGGACAAATATATAAGCATTAATGATTTAATTCAGACTTAAAAATAGAACAAAGTTGAAATCCTACTTGGTAGCTTGACAAGAACTTTGAAAGAATGCTAAATGGAGCACCTGCTAATATTTACACACCAATTACCTCAACATTTAGATTTTATCTGAATTGATTCTGCTCCCTGACATCCAAAACCCAGCCCCTCTATAAGATTAAAGATACCTTTAATATTTTCCTGTAGTGTTACCTCTGACTGGGATTTTTTTTTAGAATAAGATGGTCATAATGAGAATTTATGTGTGTCTAAGTATTGCAGAAAACTGATCACTTAAAATTCAAAATACTTTTATTATACTAAGACAATTTCAGCCAATTTATGACCTGAAAAATATGAGTAAAGCAAAAGGCATCATGCCTAATAAAAGTTTAGTTAATAAGTAATAATGTAAAACTTGGGAAATGGTACAGAATTCAAACCCTTGAAGTATTTAAATTTTTTTGGTATTGTTTGGGAAGAAAATCTGAAACTGCAGGTATACTTTAACCTCCTAATGGTAACCAACAGAAGACTATTTTTGGAATGTATAGGAACCATTCTTTCAGTATTAACAAATGCATTACTGACCATTTCATCACTGAGACAAATACGTGAGGGCACCTGAAAGGAGGGGAGATTTATTTGGCCCCATGGTTTCAGAAGTTTGTAGTCCAAGGTCTCTTCAGGACAAAGATGAGGTCGCACACCATGGCGGGGAGCATGTGATGGGCCAGCAGGAAGCAGAGCACGCAACAGGAAGAGTCCAGAGGGACATTTTCCTTTCAAAGGCCCAGCCTCAGTGACCACTTCCCCCTGCTCCTCCCCATACACAATAGCTCACTCAACTAGGAACTGATCAATGGGTTAACCCATTGATGCATCCTCGTGGTACAATCGCCTCTCAGGGACACCGCCTGCTAGGGACCCGGCCTCCTATATATGGGCACTTGGAGGTGACATTTCAAACCCAAATCAGAGCACACGTGTCTGTTAGTCAAATTCTCATCAGTGTGAAAACAGCTTAAATGGAGGAGGTCCTTTGGTTTGCTCTTTCACAGGTGCCAGCCCATGGCTGCTTAACCCTGTCCTTAGAGCCTGTGGGGGGTCAGCGTGGCATGAAGATGTGCAGCCTCACTGAAGCCAGGAAACAAAGAGACTAAGGAAGGGGCGGGCATCTCCACAGCCCCTCCCACTCACCTGACTTCCTCCCACGAGGCTCCGCCTCCTGAAAAGTCCACAGGCTCAGGAGCCAGCCTTGAGCACATGAGCCTCTGGAAGATAGCTGAGACCTGAACTGTACCAATATGGTCTCAGACGGTCATTTAAAACTTACATTTGCCATCTCATCAGAAAAAAAAAAAAGACAAGCAGGTTGCTATTGTATCACAATGACAGATTCCAGTTCCTCCTTAGAGAGTGAATTCACGATTGGTAAGAAACACTGCCCCCTTGCATCCCAAAAAGTGCTGAGCGTGATGTCTTCCTTTTAAATAAAATACCTGCCAAATACCCAAGCCTGAATAAACCACAGCTTGCTGGTCATTCTTTCAAATTGGATACCAAGTAACCTCATTTTTTTGTTTTTTATAAACTTTATAGTGCATACATTATAATCAAAATAACTGCCTTTATTATGCTTTCTCCATGCAGTTAGTCTGTGTTAACTTATTCTAAAAGATACTAAGTGGCAAGAGCTTGATATGTATACATTGAACAGAGTTCAATCTGGTCAAGAGACTGGATAGAACGAGAGGGAGGAAGGAGTTAAGATGATTCAGATTGCCAGAGCTTTAGAGACAGAAGGACGACGCTTTGATTTTTCTCCTAGGAGGGAAGGAAATGCAGTATGGAATGGTAGCCAGGGTGAGTAAGAAAGTCAGATTCACATTTTTCCAAGGTTGCTCTAGGTCCCCTGCTGTGAGCAGGGCCAGGGCCGAGGCTGAAGCCAGAGAACAGTGCACAGAGCGTCAGGCACTGGTGAGATGTGTAGACCAAGCCAGGGAGCCAGGCCAGAAGGGAGCAGCAAGGCGCAAGTGCATGCTCGGGGCAGACAGAGATGGAAACGCAATCGTATTGAATTGTGACTTTTCTCCTCTCAGATCATAAAGGCAGCACGCGCTCCTGCTCTATGCAGAGATGCCCATCTCCAGCCACTGATGGCCCTTGTGAAAACATGCTGCCTCATAAAAACACCAGCCAGAGAGAACCTGTCCCCACCATGTTGGATGCAAAGGTAAAGGCAGACGCTTGTGGGCCACATCCTTCTGGGTGTCACCAGCATTTCATCAGGCTCCATGGTGAAAAGGTGATGGTTGGGGTTGGGGTAGGACATTTTTCCTCTTCCAACTACAAATGACTGGGTTCTAATATTCCCCAAAACATTTTATTACAGGATCTATGATCTTCCTTTCTTTTGTTACCAGATTCTCCACTTTGTGTCATTCTAGATTCTCCAGGTGTTTTTGTGAAACCGCCTCATGGAGAATTAGCCAGGGATGACACCCTGAAGCGCTTTCTCACCCATGTCCACTTAGGTTGATCATCCAAAGGCCATTTCCTGAGTAGGCGTCCCCCACATTTTCTCAGGTTACGCTGAGGTTCTGTTCCCTGCCCCAGTCGCAGGAGAGAGGGAAAGATGGCAAACGGCCAATAGATGGGCTCTTGTTTCTCTTCCCTGGGATCCTAAGATCTTCTTCATTGAACCTGCACCGCAGGAGCTCCAGCACCAAGAATGGTACGTTGGAGAATGCAGCCGCCAGGCCGTGGAAGAGGCCCTGATGAAGGAGAGCAAGGTACTGCCTCCACGGGACCCAGCCGCCCGGCATCACGGGACAGAACAAGCCGTGCACGCTGCGGCGGTCATTCCAGAACCACCCAGAAATTCTCTGCGCTGGGATATGCTGTCACGGAAAGGGGGGGTTCAAAATGGAAAGTTTCAGATGGAAGACTTGCATGTGCCATGATCAGCCAGGGGACACAAGTTTACCCGGAGGTTACTTTATTCATAAATTTTGTTGAGAGGTAAACTCCAGCCCCAGGAAGTAAGAATCAATGTGGAATGTGGGGTAGGGGGCCCCCAATGGATAGTGTTCTCCCACTGCTTTCTTCAGGTGTTACTTCCTGCTAATGGAGTGGGGTCTCTGTGTCTCACTTGTTCAGGAAGGAGCAGAGATGATAAACTCTGCAACAGTCAGGATCTGACAGGTTATGCTATAGTAACAAATGCCCTCAGGATCTCCATCATGTAGCATCACTACTTGCTGGGGCTTCATGTTCAAGACAGGTTTGTTTGGGTAAATCCAGGCAGCAGGAAGCGATCTCTGTAAGGTGCTCACCTCTGCGCCCTAGATCATACATCCACACACACTCCACCCAAGTAACGTGATTCCCCTCTGATCGCGTATCAAGTGACAAAATTCACTGTGTCCAAACCCAACTTCAAAGGGAGTAGAGACATCTAAACCTACCATGAAGGCTGGGTACCAGTGGCTCATGCCTGTAATCCTAGCTACTCAGGAGGCTGAGATCTAAGGGTTGCAGTTCAAAGCTTTCCCCGGCAGGAAAGTCTGTGATATATCTTACCTCCAATAAACCATCATTAAAAAAGCTAGAAGTAGAGCTCTGGCTCAAAGTGGTAGAGCACTAGCCATGGCTCCCTCTTCCCACACACAAGCCCAGGCTAGGAGGAAAGCTTCACCCATCCAGAGCTCCCACCCTCTGTAGACTGAGAACTGAGCACCCAGCAGAAAGGGCAACTCATAAACAGGGACAGACATGGAGGAGCATGGCAGTGGGGTGGGGTGGGGGGCGCCCTGGGGAAAGGCTTCCCTGGGCTGGAGAGACAGAGGTACCAAGGCCGAGAGCCCCAGGGCACAGGTGCCCCCAGGAAATGGTGACTGGCTCAGAGTCAGGAGGACAGCACTGATCTGGTCAGTGCATCTGCCCAGAATGCCATGCCTAGTTGAAGATGGGCTGCTGAGGTTGGTGGAGGATGGTGGGAGGTCTGAAAGAAGAGGAAAACATCACAATCCACCTGGAGTCCTTCTCACAAAGTAATAACTGTCCTCATTTACAGATATTCTATGAAAGTTTACCAGATGAAGCTAATCAACACGTGCGCGCGCGCACACACACACACACACACACACACACACACCATTCATACTTAGGCCTCTTCAAAGGTGTGATGCTGAGCTACCTAGAGAAGATAACCAACTGTTCTCCCTTTGCTTCAGGATGGCACTTTCTTGGTTCGAGATTGTTCCACAAAATCCAGGGCAGAGCCCTACGTGTTGGTAGTGTTTCATGGAAACAAAGTGTACAATGTGAAGATCCGCTTCCTGGAGAAGGATCAGAAGTTCGCTCTGGGGACGGGCCTCAGGGGAGACAAGGTGAGTGAGGCCTGATCACTTCCTCTGTAGCAGTCTGGGGGGCACTGGAGCCTTGGCTCCCTAGTGCGACCACAGGAGGAAAGATGCCTACTGAGAAAGGTGCAGTGTAAGCCTTTCCAGCTCCTAGAATGCACAGAACACTTCTTCTTCCCCCTCTTCCCCTGCCCACTCCCAGTCCACCAGCCCGTGTCCCCATCCTGCTATGCCTATTGGAGAAAATCCATTCTGCACGAGGTCTCTATGCCCGCCTCCTGGGAAAGCCATCCCACATCCCTTCCATGCCCTGTGCTGCATTCCTGCTGCGGGCATTTCTGAAGCCAGCTGTGTTCACTGCCCAGACAATTGTGATCCAAAATGAGGGTGGATTCACCCACAGAGCTCAGTGGAGAGATTCCATCCTCAGTACAGGTCTGCTGGTGAGGAGCCCAGGGAAGGGACGAGCCCATTGAGGTGCTCACCAATAACAATATATTAGCTGGGAAGTGGTAGCTCATACCTGCCATCCTAGCTACTCCAGAGTCATAGATCTGAGAACCACGGTTCAAAACCAGCTCAGGAATGGAAGTCCAGGAAATTGTTTTCTCCAAATAGCCAGCCAAAAACCAGAGGTGGAGAGGTGTGGTTCAAATGGTACCATGTCAGCCAGGTCAGGGCCTTATGAATCCCATAGTAACTGGTTTTCATGATGCGTCAGGGAGTTCTTTCAATAACCAGAAAATAATCCGTCCAAATGGGGTACCCACGGTGAATTGCTATGGGTAGACTCGCCAAGCCAAGTTTCCTTTAGCCTTCAACATCTTCCAGTACACGGAAGTCCTCATTTTCAGAGCTTGCTGTGATTTTTAAATGTTTGTGCTTCAGCATTCCTTGGACTCAGAGAATCTAGAAAAGACCACAGCAGAACCCTTTCCAGACCTCCCTCTGGAAAAGGCTGTCTCATTTGCTCACTCACTCGGTCCTTGAAAACATCTGGGAAAGACAGGCTGTGAATCAGGCAGGGAACCGAACCTTCCACGAAGCCACGGCTTTCCGTCCAGCATGCCCTCCTCCGGACTGTGAAGAGAAGCCGCTCAGGGCGCCTGGAATGACATCTAACAGCAGTTCAGATGTCTGCCACTTGCTGACCACCTTGGAGAGAAGGTGCCGCTGAGACAGCCCACAGATTTATCCTTTAGTGTTCAATTTGTGCCACCAAAGACCCCACTGTGAGGACAGTTCCTAGTTTCAGAAACTGCATTTTGTGTTCACGTGTACCTTTCTCATCTTTATGTGCCCTAAAGCTAGGTGTGTTCCCTATACATTCAGATGTGTGTGCAAAGCACAGGCACCCTCCTTAACAGGTCAGTGTCATTGGCTAGTGTGATCTACCGACTCCTCCCCAAGGCAGGTGCCATGCGATCACCATTGAACAGAGAATGAAACTGAGGCATTCAGCTCCTATGCCTAGTTACTCAGTTATTGGTCACCTACAACTTGCATCCTTGTTTATCATTTTTGCTCGAGACTGACCCTCTACCGTTTGAGCCACACTTTCACTGCTGGCCAAGAAGTCATTTTCTGCTTACACTATGCTAGACTCTGCTCCATTCTGGAAACACAGAAATAAGGTAGAGTCTCTACCATCTGAGGGATGGCTACTGATCGGTCACTATCTGTACAGGTGCCTGGGCAGACGCTGAGATTGGCAGAATCCAGGCCCTGGCCGGTAGATGGCATTTGTTTTGAATGCACACACCTCCCAAAGACCAGCCCAGCACACAAGTGTTCAAGTCATGTTTGTTTGTCTTTCTGCTCAGAGAAGGGAGGAATGCCAATTTACAGACATTTCTGTACTTTGCAAATGCTTATGGGTCCAGTTCTCAAAATTACGAAGTTTAAATATGCTTGATAATTTAAACTTTGAAGACTGAACAGAGAGGAACATGACCCATAACTTTCTCACTTCCCAAGAAATCTTCTTTTCTCTTTCTCTCCTGCGCCTCCTTATTTCACACTCAGGTGTACCTGATCAGATTGATTTGCTTTCCCAGAAAGAAAAAACAAAAAACATTGACCTTAGTTTATATATAGAATAAGCATTAAAAAATTTTAAGAAAAGGCTGGAAGATCTAATATTAGGGTGACATTTGCAGTCCCTCTTAGAAAAAAAAGAACGTAAGATAAAAATAAAGGCTCAATTATAATCTTTTGTAATTGTCTCTTGAAGGCAGTATTTCACTTGTGGACACAACATTAGTGGCCAGCAATAAGAAATGACAGCATGATTAATTGCACCTGCCTTGCTTCCTATTCCTTGCTAAAATTATAACTTCATATAAAATACTATCCAGGTAGTAGATTATTAAAACAATTAATACTGAGTTCATTGATTCAGAATAACCCTGAGGGAAACAGAAATACGAATAGGAAGCAAGTATTTTCCCTATGAAGATTGGTGCCAGGAAAGATTATCTTTTAGCAAAGTGTGTTGGCCAATGTTGTGAAGAGCTCTTGAGTAAAAAGTTTTGCCAAGGATGAAGAACAAGGTTGAAGAGAATTCTGTCCTTGGTTTACAACTGGATGTGAAATACAAACCCTTCCTCAAATCTTTGATACTGACAAGCATTTGTGAGTGTGTGTGTGTGTGTGTGTGTGTGTGTGTGTGTGTGTGTGTGTGTGGCTCCTGGAGCTTGAACTCAAGGCCTGGCCACTGTCCCTGAGTGTTTTGATCCAGGCTTGCTCTCTACCATTTGAGCCACACCCCTACTTCTAGCTTTTTGGTGATTAATTGGAGATGAGACTTTACTGCCCTGGCTGGCTTCAACCTGTGAATCCCAGAGTCTGGAGTAGGGTTACAGGCATGAACCAAGAGCACACAGCTATCTTCATTCTCCCTTATCATCTTTTCAATTTTATTATTCAAGAGCTCGTTTGACACATTACTTTAAAAAATTCACTCCCTGGCCTGCCTATCTAATACAAAAGTTGTGAAGAATTCAGTTCTTCCTAAGGGAGAGAGAAGGATCTTAGCTACATTCTAACCCACAGGTCCCACTGTGTTAAAAATCATTAATTTTCCTCTCTGTGTTTCAGAAGTTTGACTCTGTGGAAGACATGACTGAATACTACAAGTACTTCCCTATTGTGTTAATTGATGGGAAAGATAAAACGGGGCGTCACAGGGAGGAATGCTACCTCACTCAGCCCCTCCCCCTCGGCACACACGTCGCCCCTCGGTAGCCCAAGCCTTGTTTTATCCTCAGGTCAGTAGATTCAAGACTTCTATCAGTTTGCATGTATTTCAGATGACTATTTTCTGTATCTTCAAGAGATGACTTTTATCACTTTGTACAAAGAGAAGCATTCTGTGATGGAAACTGGAAGCTAAAGTCAAGGAAGTATTTATGACTTCCAAAGATGGGATCCCTGCTCTTCAGGAGGCTGAGATCTGAAGGTCATGATTCAAAGTTGGCCCACACAGAAACACCTCTGAGACTCTTATCTCTCAATTCACCAGTAAAAGACCAGAAGTGAAACTGTGGATGGCTGCTCTGAGTCTTGAGCAAAATAGCCAGGTTGAAAGCAGCAAACCCTGAGTTCAAGCCTCAGTACCAGCACTAAATCAACAAATACCACACTTTGAAAAGCATCTTGTAAACAACAGCAAAGAACTACAAATATGGTCATTACGCTCATGTTACTGATTTATTTCAAAGATTATTTTCTGTATCTTCAAGAGATGCTTTGAAGCAAAAGTTATGAGAAGTCGCTGCTCAGACAGGTGCAGCTGGCATGGGAGGAATCCGCGTGACCTCACCAATGAACCTGGTCCCCCGAGGACTGAGCTCCCCTCAGATGCGAAGGCTCCTGTACCGACGATGTTTGAGTAATTCCTTATGCTGAAGACATTGGTGAATGGTGGCTGCCTTTTATTAGCTGTTGTAGAAATGCAAAGGAACGTGAGAATCAAGAGGCCCGGCAAATACCAATCCAACAACAAACCTTGGAAATACTTTGGTGTGACATAGCTATGGGACCACCGGCCAGACACACTCTGTAAATTGTGACTTTCCACCAGATGGAATCATAGTAAGAACACAACACATTAAAGCCTATTTGACTTCAAGATAAGCGTCCACCTGAATGAAAATAAAACGTTTTAAAAACCACGGACTTCTGTTTAAAGGTAGAGAACTGTTCTTTCAGAACACTGTCCACACCATGATACTGTCTCAAAGTGAAGAGGGTTTGATTTTACGTCTAGTATAAGATCAGATGAGGAAATGGAGAGTCGAACAAAGCTATGGAGCGCACTCTCTATAAGAAAGTGAGCAAAGACCGGAACCCAATATCCTGGATCCATATTTGCTTCTGCAGAATTTAATCATTCTCAATCTATATTCCTCTGTCTTTAGTGAAGTACAGTCACAGCACTTGCTTGAACTGCATGCGTGTTCAGCAGTAGGCTCTAATGTAGATGTTGGAAATATAGGTGTGAATAACTGAGAGACAGATGACAAGTGCATGTAAGAACTCAATCAATTACTTTCCCGCTCCTCTGAGGTGTTTCCATTTTAATAGTCACTGTGGGGTAAGGCCAATACTATTTCAATGGAGCTTCTTTAAGATCACTTTAAGAAAGGCCTGAAGCAGAAAATGTTAAGCTATCCACAACCTATTGCATAGAAATGGTCCCAGCTCGGTGTGTGTGCATCTTAACTCTATCATGTTTAATCTGTTCTAATTACTATGGAAAATCAAATTTACTCCACTATCCAATACAGCCCATTCTCATTCATGATTGCCCATATTGTATGCACTTGGCTTTATTCTTGGGTATCTACATTTGTCCTTAAAAACATGAGTTCCAACCATGCTTTTAACATTTTAACCATTTTTAAACATTCATGATTTACAGCTGTGCTAATTCAAATGCTTTAATATTCTTAAATGCTTTAATATTTAATAAAGTGAACACTAAAAAGAAAATTCAAAACAGCTTAATTTTATTGGTTTATGTTATGGTATACATAAAGCCTTGAAAATCACAGGCTAATTGGCTTTAGGGATAAATTTTCTAAAACTATTAATGCTCTAGGATCACTGTGCTACATTCTAGAACCAATACTCTGCCTGTGCTCAACTAAAAATGCACACTTACAATTGCATCCCAGGCATAGGACTCATGTGCTGTATTCACACCACAAAAACGGGGAGACCAGGGGAGCTTGGAGGGCAAATTGACGTTTCTCACCTTGATGGCAGGGATGTTTCCACAAGCATGTACTAATCTCCAAATTCATCACATTTTCCACATGACATATGTCCAGTGTCTTCAGTATCAGCTAGATCTCAATAAGTTGTTGTTTTGTGTGTGTGTGTGTGTGTGTGTGTGTGTGTGTGTGTGTGTGTGTGTGTGTGTGTGTGTGTGCCCCGATCATGGAGCTTTAACTCAAGGCCTGGTGTTATCCCTGAGTTCTTTTGCTCAAGGCTAGTGCTTTACCACTTCAACCATAGCTCTACTGTAAGCTTCTTGCTGGTTACAGAATACCCCAGCTGGCTTTGAACCACAACCCTCAGGTCTCAGCCACCAGAGCCTGGCTAAAGTTGTATTTTTAAAATGAAGCTCTAGGCTGGGTGTCAGTGGCTCAGACCTGTCATCCTAGCTACTCAGGAGGCTGAGATCTGAGGATCAAGGTTCAAAGCCAGCCTGGGCAGGAAAGTCCATGAGACTCTGATCTCCAATTAACCACCAGAAAACCAGAAGTGGCACTGTGGCTCAAGTGTTAGAGCACTAGCCTTGAGCTAAAGAGCTGAGGGACAGCACCCAGGCCCAGAGTTCAAGCCCCACGACTGACAAAACAAAATGAAATGAAGGTCCAGATGTTATAAAATCACACAGTGTAGAAGAGATTCAGTAATTCCTTCTGTTGTGGCACTGAGGCACTGGTTCGCAGGAACAGACCTGGGGCTTCTTGGAGATGTTCAGGCAGGGACTTGAGGATGCTCCCAGAACGGAGCTGCAGAAGTACAAGTACTTCCTGGTCTGTTCGGGGTGCTGCTGTCTGGAAGGCCAGGCCATGGAATCAAGCAGTGGCCGCTTGTTGAAGAGACAAGCAAAGATGATAGACACAACATCCGTGGAGAAAGGACAGGTGATTTATTAAGTGGTTTGGGGCAAACTCACTCACCACCTGGGGGCGGGGGAGTGCAATTATACCTCTATTACAAATCAGATCTGAAAATATGTTCTGCATGAATCAAATAGCTGAAAGCCAAAAGCAAAGTTGAAATGGACTCATGTATTTTCTTCCAATATCTAATAATTTTTCTGACTTTGGGATGAAAACATAAATCATACAGGGAAAGACTGATAGATTCATTATACCCAAACTGACTGTACGTGTTTGTGAAAGTTAGGAAAAGTCAAAAAGGAATTAGACAACCTAATATGGCTAAGCCAAGGATACAAACAAGTAATTCTCATGCAAAAAGAAAACTTGTAGCCTGGTAAGTTCAGACATCTGGGCTTGCTAAAGAAACCAATATCATAACTGGACAGAAAAGGTTGATGGGAAGTAAAGCTGTGGCTCAAAGTGGTAGAGTGCTAGCCTTGAGCAAAAGAGCTCAGGGACAGTACCCAGGCCATATGTTCAAGCCCCATGATCAACAATAAACAACAACAACCGAATTGATGGTATAACCTTGGAGGAAGTAATTGAACAAGAAACAGATGATTTCCATCACACACCAAAAATCTGTAAGCCTTCAAAAATGACATTAGTATTTGCCCTTAATGGTGGTAGAAGGAGAGAGGTTAGAGAGGGAGGGAGAAAGGGAGAGGGAGAGAGAGAGAGAAAGACAGAGAGACAGACAAAGAGAGACAGAGAGACAGGGAGAGAGAGACAGAGAGAGACAAAGAGACAGAGAAAGGAGATTTCTTTTTCTTTCCTCTCCTTTGTCTTTTTTGCTTTTTGTTTTTGTTGTCGTTTTGTTCTAGGGCTTGAACTCAGGATCTAGGCACTGTCTCTTAGCTTTTTTGCTCAAGACTGGCTCACTACCACTTGAGCTACACCTCTGCTTCTAGCTTTTGATGGTTCACTGAAGAGTCTCATGGACTTTTCTGCTTGGGCTGGCTTTAAACTGAGATCCTCAGGTCTCAGCCTCATGAGTAGCTAAGAGTAGAGGTGTGAGCCACCAATCCCTAGTACAAAAGGAGTTTTAATTATCAACAGTTATTATAATAATCCATTATAATCAACACAATCCTCCTCTAGGAACCAAAGGTCTACTTGGCCAGGCTATCTGTGGTACTCACAGACTGCCAGGAAAAAAAATTCAAATTGGGCATATAAAATAGAGCTAAAAATGTGAGATACAAGGGTTGGAAAATGGGGATTGAGTGATAGTTTTCTCCCAGATCCTTTAGGACCTATCTTAACACATGAGCAGGAGCCAAGAGAACAGAGCAGTCATGCTATAAATACAGACTCGTGCCAGTCCTCACAAAGAGCCAATCCCTCGAACTCTGTCAGACCAACTAAGCACACACTCTTCCCTTCCAATCTGTATAATCTGTATTTTTGCATCTTAAATATGAATTAATATGAATAGCCAAGAGCATGGAAGAGAGCTTCCATTGCAAGGCATTAAAGAAAAGCTACAAACCAGAAAGACTTAAAAAAAAAAAAACTCAAATGAGAGATACAATGCTGGATATGGAAGAAAACATCACAGACAAGGACACTGTCCACAGAGAAGGACACCGTCCACAGAGGTGAGACCTAGAATCCACATCTGATCAACAGAGGGCCATTCAGACACACAAATACTGGATGAGGGGTGTAGCTCAAGTAGCAGAGCACTTTTCTGGCAAGTATCCTGAAAAAATCCCTTGGTCCTAACAGGGACAATGGTCACCCAACTTCAACACGCCACATGGTGCATCTTATTATGTCTGTTTTATTCCTAGACTCTTCCCTGCTTCCTCCTAACATAATAAGGAAGAGAGAGATTGCAGTCTGTGTTGTTCGTGAACATGTGTCCAGGTGTCCACAGCAGGGCTTAGACAGCAGGCACTTGACAGATACTCAGTCAATGAATTAATAAACATCAGAGCCTTGCATGTATGAGGCCCTGGGTTGGATTCCTCAGCACCATATAAGTAAAAAAAAAAGCTGAAAGGAGTGCTATGGCTCAAGTGGTAGAGCGATAGCCTTGAGCTGAAGAGCTGAGGAACAGCGCCCAGGCCCAGCGTTCAGACCTCACGACTGACAAAAAAATAAAAATCAGATCCAGAGACTAATAAAGAGTAAAGTCAGAGAGTCAACATAAGTCACCATACAGAGCTTTGCAGCTGCTGCGAAGGCTCCAACTTTGACTTTGAGTGGGGCAGGAGAGGAGGGTGCGGTATTGGAGAGATTCAAACACAACCACACCATCAGGTTTTCAAGAATCACATGAAAGGGACTGCAATCAGGAAGCCATTGGAATGACCCAAGCAAGTGAT